CATTGCACACTGTTTTAGATCGTTTTTGTCGCACGTAAATCTAGGTAGCTGATCTTTAAACTCCTCGAACGATACCAAATCTCCTGTTCTCCGTAGCTGTAGCCAAGGGTGGCGCTCGCGACGGCCTCCCTTGCTGTCCCATTGCGTAAAGCCTTCTCAACTTGTTGTGAATCAACTTCGGATTCTATTATTGTTAGCGATCTTTGGTCAGCTAAATGGCGGTCGACAATAGTTTGAATCCGGAGTTTTACTGCTTTGCCGGCCTCAAATCTCTCTTTTAACACGATCTTGAATCCGTTCCTAATTGTATCAGCAGTTAGATACCGCACACACTAGCAATCCACTCCACCACATTTTCTCCGGTAGAAGTCACCATTTTGAACGATTTCATTTTTGCCTTGCAGCCTCATGTCTCTCCATCTGCTTCTCTAAATAACTAGCCACTTCTCTCGGAGTAGCAACTTGAGAGGGCAATTCAAAGTGACATCAGCGGTTGTCACACGCTCGAACACCTGGCGGGCACTTGCATCAGCTCGTGTTGCGTTGCTTAGGATGTTATGAAATGGGACCCGTCCAATGCCCGCTAAACCCGTTGAGTAGCATCAGTACGTGAAGTTCAATATCTGTCGTTGACCCAACGTTGAACTGCACGAGTTCAATCGTTAGCTTTTCGTTCCACCAGCAGCCGTTGTAGGCGTAGAGCACGACATCGTGTTGCGCTTGGAAGAATTACAACTTCGTCCACTAATACTTTCCGAATTCATGCCGTTTCTTGCCGTTCTCATCACGCGTAGCTACTACCTTGGATGGTCTGGTCCTGACTACAAGATGCACAAAATATTTGCGATCGAGCGAGTTGCCAAAGAGCATTCAGATAGGACGCTCTTTATCGTTGCCAATAACCCGTACCCACACCGAGTGTGTTCCTTTGTTGTGACAGTGGACTTTAGCAATTACTCGAAAAACACAGGTATATGGGCAGTGTAGACCACGTATACCTTAAATTCTGCCATCTCTTGTTTTGCCGTACAGATGAAAACACTGACAGAGGCATTCGCATCGTCTGGATTGACTTGACCCTGACCCGTGTTAGACCGAAAAGCTAAATGGTGCTAGGTGCATGAACCAGGTAAACGCTTGGACTGCCGCTGGTCGTCTTGAACCTTCAATACGTTTTACGCGAAGAAATACCGCAAGGCTGGTGAGTCAGATGGCAACTGGGGCTTCCTACACGCTCTTCAAGCGACATGCTTCGGTCTTGGGTGAACGGATTTGGTTACTCGCGGACTTTGGAACAAATTTTGCCTCGCGAAAAGCAACGACTTTACCGAGGGTGTTGATGGCACGGATGTCGATGCCTTCCTCAACTTCTTGCAAGCTGAACGGGTTTCACGCGACTAGATGGCTAGTTTAAAATCTTCAAATGAAATTGCTGTTTTCCACTGCTGTGCTGGAACGCCATGCGCGTGCGCTTGATCCAGGTCATTACATCGTTCACGCTGCAGAGAGCAACATCGAGCACTACTTCACGCTTGTGGTTAAGGGTCCCAACGATCCAGTCATGATCTATGACGACTACAACGTTGGCAAGAATCCGCCGTTTTCGTTGGAGCCATTGCAGAAGGTGGGTTGGCTCACGCACGTCTACGGGATACTTCTTGTGGCGCTTTCGCGTCCCAAGCGTTCGAAGAAGTCGAAGAAGGGTTCCAACAAGAAGAGTCGCATTTAGCGAGGGCACGTTGACTAATACATGTACCCCTTGAGCCCCCTTTCAGCACTTCTTGGCTTTCTTTCGTCCCTTCGAGCGTCGGTTGGTTTCAAACTCTACAGTCATGTCGGGAATTAGTGCTAAGTTCGTGATTGGCTCCCATGCAGGTTTCGTTTCACCCACCCACTCCACAAGAAATTGGTTTTGTTTTCTTCGAACCCTTTTACCCAGCAAACGTTGTACGAGCTGACCAATGCTGCCGTCCGCAAGGACAACATCACGGTTGCCTTGACGATTGCTGATACGGTTTCAGAGATCACGTGTTGAACACAGGATGGAGCTTATTCCCTGACTAAATGTTTAGTTCATATGCGTGGTTGTGCATCTTGCGAACGATCGAATATGGGCCTATCCATTTCGGACGAAACTTCGACGACGCCGGAAGACCAGTGTGCCTGGGATCAAGGTTCTCCGTTCTCGAGTACACTTGACCTCCCACGCGGAACTTTTACTCTTTCCGGTTGTGATCATAGACAGCTTTCATCCGGTCTTGAGCTTGTGCAAGCGCTTCCCGGCATCGTAGCAGTATCGATGCCTGGCGTTCGTGGAACTCGACGCCTTGTCGACTAGCAGGGATATTTGATTGTTGTTCTTTTGCGATCTCCAAAGCATTCAACGGGATGTATCCCAGATCGTATTCGAACGGCGCCATCTTCGTGTTTGAGCTCCCCGTTGAATTCACAGCAAATTCTGCGTTGGCAAGGTGATCATCCCAGACATCTTACCAAGGTCCAACGAAGTACCGAAGATATTCTTCAAGCGTTGGATCCATCCGTTCTTTCTGGCCATCGCCTTGAGCGCAATGAGGTACCGTCATACTCAACTTCGTGCCGATCGACTTGAACACATTCTGCCAGAAGTGGGACACAAACTTTCTGTCGCGGTCGAATAGGATGTTGGTTAGCATGACGTGGAGGTTCCAGATGTTATTGACGAAACGTTGTGCGACACCTTCTGCGGTAACAGCTTCGTCGTTGGAATGAAATGACATCGTTTGGTCGATCTATCCACGACAACCCAAATCGAGTTGACTTTGTTCTTCGTCTGTGGGAGGTCCGTGATGAAGTCCATCGAGATGGATCTCCATATTTCATCAGGAATGCTGAGAGGTTCTAGCAGACCTGATGGTTTCGTTAGCCTAGGCTTGTTTCGGCGGCATTGCTCACAGTCAGTAATAAACGTCTGGATCGAAGCCAACATCTTGACCAGTACCAACGTCGCACAAGTGTCAGATACGTGTGTTCCACACCGGGATGCCCTCCATAGTTGCAATCATGGCACTCGCTGATGATGCCGTACCTCAACATCACATCTTCGGGTGCGACAACGCGTGGTACATCGTCTGCCGCTGTTTGATGCCGGAGTAACCCATTGCTTTCAGTGAAGCATCGGTACTTCTTCCAGTGTTGACGCTCAGCTTTTGGTTTCAAGTTAGCTGTGCGTCGCTTTATAGCAGCGAATATTGCTTGAATTTATTGATTCTTGACATAAATTGCCTTAATCTTCTTGATCAAATCGCTGTCCGCCGTGACTTCACTGATCTCCATCGTGAATGATGTATCGTCAAAGCTAGTAACACTGAGATCATGGAAATACTTCGTTTCCGGCTGCAAGTCTGATCTTCGCCAGGGCATCAGCAATTCCGTTCTTTGCTCCAGGGAGATATGAGAATATCGGTTGATACTCTCCCAAGATGTCATACCAACGAGCTAGACGGCAATTCGCCATCTTCTGAGTGAACAATCCCTCGAGGCTCTTGTGGTCAGTCTCGACAATTGGTGACTTCTCCAGGCAGTAGATCCAGAATGCTGCTAACGCGTGAACGATAGCTAGCAATCCTAGTTGGTGGGTCGGGTATTTGAGCTCGCTGACATATCTTCCGGCTGATATACGTGATTGGGCGTTCAACACCATCCATCACTTGGAACAGGACGCCACCAACAGCAAACTTGCTGGCATCTGTACGCAAATGCATTGGCTGAATGAAGTCAGGAAGATGCAGCACACAAGCGTCGCTTCAACTCCTTGAAGTTCTTCAACTGCTCCTTGTCGAAATGGACCTTCACGTTGCACTTGTTCTGCTTCTTGAGTAGCGTGAACATGGTTGCCGTCAGCGAGGCATACTCCGGACAGAAACGCTGGGCGTAGCCCGTGAGTCTCAAGATGCTGTGAAATGCCTCTTGAGGCCTTGATACCGGTCAGCCTTTGATATATTGCACTTTGTCGTGGTCCATGGGCACGCCGTCTCGGCCTACAAAGTCGCCAAGACACGGAATCCCTGGGGCGCAGAACACACACTTGGATAACTTGACATACAGCTTGTTATCCCGCAAGATATCCAACTTTTTCCGTAAAGCTTCCAAGTGCTCGTTGACGTCTTGAGAGATGGTAAAGATATAGATGTCTTCGCAAAACGACCTCGTTTGCTTCAAGCCTCAAAACAGCTTGGACGTCAATCTGTGCATTGTTGCAGGTGCATTGTAGACTCCCATGGGAAGTACCAAGTACTCCCAGAGACCTTTTGCTACCTGGAATGCTGTGAATTTGATATCTTCTTTGCGCAGTCGAACTTGATAGTACGCCGACATCAGGTCCATCGTCGAGTAGTAATACGCTGCAGCCATGTCGTCCAGGACATCTTCTTTACTCGTCATCGGAATTCTCTGGCGTATCGTGTTTGAGTTGAGATATCGGTAGTCGTGGACGATACGCCATCTGATGGGCTTCCGTACACAGAATGTGGGAGCCGCTTGTGGATTGATGCTTGGCCTGACGAGCTTCTTCTCGACCATGTCTTCTACCCAGCGAACGATTTCACGTTGCTGCTCCGGCAATTGACGCCACAGATGTCGGTACATCGTGAGGTTCGGGTCCCGGACGTCGATCTGGTGCTCAATCTCGCGCTTCTCAGGGAAATCTTCAGGGAGTTCGGGACGAAACACGGTGTCTTTGTACTCCTTCAGTAGATTGTAGGCAGGGTTCGCCCGAAACGTTTCCCAGTCAGTGTCCAGGTAAAGTTGAGCCTAGGCACTACTACCATTATTCGGTTGGTCGCGTCGCTGCAACGAGCTTGTGATGGGCATGATTGTCTCGTTCGACAGAGCCATCACAAAGTCAGGTTCGTCTTGGTTCTTCGTCTTGATTCGCAGGAACGATATCAGCTTCTTCCGCGTGATGAACTTAGTCTCCACACCAGCTGCGTCGACAACACCCATCCTGAACATCTTCTCCACGGCGTTGCTTTTTGCCCTGGCACGGCTCTCAGCCGCGCCTTTATCAGAAGACGACCACTTGTCGCCTCCCACCGTCGAGCCTCTACCAATTGGCTCACGATCCTGTTGCTCGCAAGCAACTCTTGGGGTTCCATTCTGCGCAGTTTCACAGGCAACTTAAGCCACAGGCTTCGCATCTGTTTCCAGCGCGGCGCCTCGACAAGAATCAGGACTTTTCGCCGATAAGCCTTTCATCCCGGTGGATCTCCGAGACCCAGAGGCAATCGCCGGCCCGCCTTCCTCGATCCGCCCGATGGCCTCACTTGTCCGCTCCGCTCGCAAAATCTTCATTGTTCCTTTCATTGTTACTTTAATCCTTCGACCACTTCAATCAATCAGGGGTTGTATGTCCTCGAAGAATGGTACCCCGGGATGCTGTCGAACTCGTCAGGAATAGCGTAGATGACAGCAACACATTTGTATGCTTCATCCACTCCTGGTACCTTGATAATCAGAGCTATTAGCTTCAAATCTGCCTCGGCAATCTGGTTGTCTCCAAGTTTCACACGGATGTTCTTCTCTTGGAACCGCATAGTCGTGAGTTTATTCTTCTCGACCCAAGTCTTGGACACGTAGATTGTAGTAGCACCACGGTCCAGTAGCATGCTTGAAGTCGAGATGTGCTTTTCGCCGGCACTGGCAGCCCCGTGGATAGAGAATAGCGGACTTGACTTGTAGACGAGAGGGTTTGCACAAAGAACATTGATGCTGACATTGTCCACCTTTAATGCTCTGGCTACACTCTTAACCACGGCCGGACCCTCATTCACTGGCGTGGTTTGTCGTTCCCTGTTCGCCTTGTAGCTCCTTCCACGCGAAGCAATCAGCCCTAATATGACCGGGCTTCTTGCAGCAGAAGCAAGTGCGAGTTTCGCCACCTTTGGCCTTCGTCTTGATGATCTTGGCTTTGAAACGTCCTTTTCCACGGAAGGGCTTGCTTTTGCTGCGTCCCCTTGCGTGGAGGCCTTGCCAGCCGAAGTTTTCTTCTTGTCGGAGCGATCTTGGCGCACGCGAGCTTCGTCGACAAAGTGAGTCACCTCGTACTGGAGCACGAGGTCCATCGCGGCTCTCAGCGTCGCGGACTTCTCCAACTTGACGTAGGTACGCGTGCAAGGCTTGAGCCCGTTAGCGTAGTTTAGGACTTGGTCCAGCTCGCTCATGCCCTCGACGCGGAAGATGAGCGCTCTGTACTCTCCGTTGTACGTCTCGATGTCAGCCGTCTGCTTGAGCTGCTGAAGCTTCTCGCGCAGCGCGGCTTGGTAGTTCGACGACTCGAAGCGAGGAGCACACGTGGAGGGTTTCCGTGAGCATATGCTCCAACACTGTCGTCGACGACCAGTGTAGGACCATCCCGAGGCAGGTTTCTCCATCACCGACCCGACGATCCCTGGCAGCTTTGCGATCGCCTCTTCAACTTGGGTACCTTTGATGCGACAGGCGTTCTCAATCTGCAACAGCCATTTCCTCACGCCTACGTCTCTCTTGTCGGTGAACTTGGGCAAGTTGTTTGGAACCTGGAGCGATTAGCCATTGCCTGGTTGGGGCGGTCGATCTTAGCGCGTAGCTGCGCGTTCGTTGGAGGCATGGGCTTTTTTAACAGGGGCTGGGACCAACAATTGCTACCAGTATATCAAAAATGAAGGAAGCGGGCGAGGTCTTTGAGAGAGCGGTCAAATTGGAAAGTGATGAGGTTGCCGCCCTCGCAGTTCGGGCAGTTGAGAGCTCTGCGTCCACGGACTACCCTACTCTGCATCTTTACTTAGATGTCATAATAATTACAATCCTAGTCAAACGGAAGTAACTACGAAGTATTCGTTACTTAAGTACAATGATTGAGAGAGGTGGGATACATATTCTCTGCTCCAAGCAACCATGAAAAAACGTCCGCGTAGCGGACGCCCCGAGCTCTAGATCGGTAGAGTACTGTAAAAACGGTAATAGTGCCCCATCCCTTCAATAGTACCCCACCCCCAAATTTTTGGCAGACTACGTGGCGGCTTGCGTTGGTACCCCACTCCATTCCAAAAAATTGCAAAATAATCAGATTATTTACAAATTTGACGTCTTTGTCATTCTCATCTATCAAGTTCGTGCGTCCAAGCCGGAGGACAACCAGGAGGAAGCTCTTTAGTGTCCGCTGTTATTTGGGGGCCGATGATCAGCTATCGTTGACAACGCACTCCATTTACGGTACTGCTTTTGCCGAGATGCTCGCCAAGCAGCGTGAAAACGATACCTCGATGGAAGACGAGAATCACGATGAGAATGCCGCTGACTACGACGACAGCAATGACTTCGTTGACTTGATCAACGAGCTTGATCTCTAGCTAGCGTCTGTTTGGCGCGCTGACCGTTTAAGTCTCAACACGACTAACACTTTGACGACGAATCCATAGTACCCCACCCTTCAATAACCCCCGACTCTCAAATAATGCCCCACTCAGAAGGTGGGGTACTAACGCAGTACCCCATGGGGCACTATTACCGTTTTTACAGTACTATAATTTGCAGGGTACCATAAAGTTTATGGCATAAACATTGATCATTTACGGAGTCGGGTCGTTTATCTGGCGGAACCTGTTCAGTACACTCTACCATTATGTTGTCCGGATGTTGACCCATGTATTCCCAGTAAAATAACAACACGATGCAGAAGTAATTTACTAGAGTATATTGATTTGGTTGCTGTCATCTATAGCTGTAGACATTCGAACCATTTCATGGGCTTCTGTGAGTCCTTGATGAGACCATCTCCATTCAAAAAAGCAGTGTCGGCGTGATTCAACTGCGGCCTGTAGAAACGATCCATGTAATCGTTGCC